GGGGGGGGGGGGGGGGGGGGGGGGGGGGGGGGGGGGGGGGGGGGGGGGGGGGGGCTGTACATGGAATGGGGGCAACTATTTGGCCGTCGATGCAGCGCGCGCCGTTCGCGTCAACTGCGTTTGGTACAAAAGGCGTTGAGAAGGTAGGCGATTCGTCTCGAATACAAGTCGGCAAGAAAGAGACCGCGGATATAGCACCCTCGCTTGACCAACCAATGCGGAATTTTCGGGAGACGGCTCTGCTTTGCATCCATGCGTAGAATTTTGGAACGAAAAAGCACAAGCGATTTCCGTAGGCTCAACGAGTGGATTGGCCCGAAATAATTTCAGAGCTTTCCGTGCCGCCAAAGGATGGGACATGCAGCACGGCAACAGCAGCTTCACCATCGCGCTCGAATACTTAGAAAAAATAAAGAGAACGGTCGGCGTACATTATGAGCAGCCGGTTGCTTGGGGTGCCGGGCTCGCCATACGGGCGACGTTAGCTTTGCCTCCGCGCTCATGAAGAAACTGTGCGTACATCGCCAAACCTCTCTACAACTCCAGCCGCATCTATTAGGGTCAAACAGCTCCAAAGTTAGCCCAGTATCCAGCAGGTTCCCCACTCACTGCTGTAAAGACTTCCACCACATGCTTCCGACTGGCTTGTTGTTGTTGCTGCTATTGTTGTTGTTGATGTTGTTGTTGTTGTTTTCACAATAAAAACCGTCCCGATGTAATCAGTATCTTCATCTGCCCGTACTGATCGAACACTTGACCGGTCGATTCCCGCGGTCACAGGCTATTTTACCCCAAACGAGGTACATGCAATAACGAAAAAGGTGCATACATTCAACCAAAAGGACCCGAAGGGTTTGCAAGCCAATTGAAATCAACGACAGATAGATAGTCTGGCACCCTCCGCTCCCCTCTACACCCTATGACTGCTGTGGTACTATTTATCTCGAGTGGGGATTGCAGTCTTTCAAGTTACGGCACGTGTATTTCCTACTTATCTAACAACAGCAGGAGGTCTGACAACAGCAGGCGGAGTGCATGCTCACGCTCATCAAGCTTGTCTCCACCCCAACGCGCACAACTTTTACGGTCGCCGGTACACATGAAGAAACACATACGTGCGCCTTACCAAGAGAGCATCCACCACGGCGACGTTGCCCCCGACCGCCGCCCTCAGCAGCGGCGTCTCGGAGTCCGCATTGCGGGCCTCGAGCAGCCGGGACTTGGCGAGCCTCTGCCTCGGGGTATCGTGCACGCCCGACAGCGGCCGCTTACTAGTGGCGCCGGTGGAGGGGCTGCTGCTACTGCTGCTGCTGCTGCTCTCAGCAGCGGCGGCCTTTCGCAGGAGAAACGTGATGAGATCCGGGCTCTCGCTAAGGCAGGCGTAGTGGAGGGGGTTATTGCCGTCCTGAAAAGGGTTGTTTCGGTATCGGTAACGGACGGAGATGGTTGGGTCAAACGATTACATTTCATGTACCGTAGAACAGGGCGACGGGGAATATTGGTTGGGGGGCGAACGATAACATTTCAATGGTCCATTGAGTTGTAAGCAGCGGTTCGCTGGTAACATACATCGGAACATCTGGCAGCGGATGATGAAACGCCTATTCCGCACTATTAATACTGCTGTAGTATCAATTATTATACCATACATCGGAACATCTGGCAGCGGATCATGGAACGCCTTGCTCTTACCCCGCACTACTTAGGCAGCGGATTATGGAACGCCTTGCTCTTATTCCGCACTACTGCTGTAGGTGTTCCATTTACTCCTTTGTCTCCACGCGTGCACATGTCGTTGCATACATAGTACTGCTGTAGCCTGTGTGTGTGCTGGTGTATAGGGTACGAGTTGTCGTCGACTGCCACGATCAACAACAATAGTTCGCCTCGTCGAGGAACCTCGGGGTTGAATATATTCTCAGCTGCCGATTTCTGCTAGGTTGAGGACGATTTTGCCGAGGGCATCTGCTTGGCTGCAAATCACACACCGGGCGGGTTTGTGCCCAGTGCGGGCGGGAGCACGCCTGGTCTATGTACACAATCCTGGCCCGAACGAGCATTCCTGGCCATCTCTAACCTGCTTGGATAGTCTTTTGATGAAAGTTCCTGCCGTACAGTGTCCGTTTCACAAAAATATCGCATCAATATACATCACTCACCGCATCTGCGCTGAGCATATTGATTCCATTCTCTGCGCCCTCTGCCAGCAGCATGGCCACGAGAGGGAGGTCTCCGTTCACGCAGGCCGCGGGCAGCCCCACGCCCCTATGGGAGATATCTTCGGGACGCAGAAATTCCGCCCCATCCTCCGGCATCTCGAAGCGAGATACATGCTGTGCCGGCGGTCTACCTCCTCCCTCGGCCATTACAAGAACAACTGCTGATGCTCTTGTTGCATAGGAACCACAGCAGTACCGCGGCGCTGGCTTTACCCTCTAGCTTCCGCCGAGCCCGCCCTTGCTGTCGACTCGTTCGCTTTCACCGGTGGTGGTCGTGGTCCTTCAGTGGGCTTTACTCTGCTGAGCGCAATAGTCTTTGCGCGGTCGGTGTGTGTGCGGGTGCGGGTTGTGGCCGGAAGCCGCGAAGATGCGAAGATGCGGCGAGATACAGCAGACAGCACTGATTTTACGGCGATTTGATTGGTCAATGAACTTGGTCGGCCCAATCGATTTATTCGAAACCCAAGAGACCCCTCGCTCGTTCCGTGTGTGTACCGCTCACAGCAGTAGCGCCGCCCACTGCTCCAACAGCAGCAGCAGCAGCAGCAGCAGCAGCAGCAGCAACACAGGAGACATGAGCTCGACGAAAACCACCGGTGCTGGTGAGACCAGGCGCCTGAGCAGGCACGAACGGCGCCATGGTTCCAAGGCAAAGCCACCGCCGGAGCCAACAGTCCAGATCCCCAAGGTATGCATAATTATCTCTGTGTCTGTCTGTGGTCGTGGCGGTGGTCATCGAGATCACGCTCAATCATCCGATCACCCCGACTACCATCTCTCTCTCTCTCTCTCTCTCTCCCTCTCTCTCTCTCTGTCTCTCTGTTCCTGCATTGCAACACGCTGAAGTATGGGCGAGAGACCTTGAGGGGAGCAAGCCGCGGCTCCCCGCTACGTCGCGTCTTGGTCGCGTAGCGCCATCCGTCCCTTGAAAAGCTGCTTCGCCCGACGGCGGCACTAACACTGCACAGCATCCCCAGATCGGAATTTTCTCGAGAGATGGTAATTACCCCGCTTCGGTAGAGCTGAAGGGTTGCTACATAGTTGCTAAATAGTGGGCAGGCTCGGAAAGGATAGCGAGGCCAGCACCCGCACACACACGCCCGTAGGGTGACGGGGTGCTAACCGCAGTTGCACTGCTGTGTGTTGCACGCACTGTGCTTTATTGGCCCTGCACCCATCGGAAAAAACGCTCCATGCGGCGCTTGGCTTTCACCATAATCTGAAAGTGCACGTTCAGCGTGCACGATGGGCACTCCGGGGTGTGTCATGCGTCTAGCCTCCACCGCGTGAGGCAGCGAGCGGCACAACTCACAAGCGGCGATCGCGCTGCTTTGTTGCCAAATGCACCGCCTCGATGGCTGCTGTCGTGTCCTAACATCTATCCACTTGGCACCAGCTGGCAAGGTTTTGGTTGTGTAGGCGGGTTCCAGGGCATCGTGGCAATCGGTTTCTATGCATACAAACCAATGCGACCAAGCACACAGCAGTGACGATAGGCGGTGTTCCCTTGTCGAGACCTTCTGCCTCATATTGCTGTGTGCACGCTGCCTTCTTGCCTGACTCGAATTCTGCGAGAGATACTCACGCTCTCTCAGGCCCTCGACCTACCCCTCCTTTTTTCGGTCAATTTTATCAAATTGTCTCTCCACGTTGTTCTTCCGTGGTTTGAACCGCCGTAGGTATGCATACCAGAATAAAACCGCTGTTCAATACAGCAAGCCTGCTCGCATCCTTGCGGTGTTTTGCGACGTCGAATGTCGCCGCCGCAGCCGCGCGAAGTATTCTAAGACGTGAGAGTTTTGCTCACATTGTGCCCGGACAATGGTGGGTGATATGCATGACACTTGATTCGTTTGAGAACGCAAACTCGTCGGCATGTCTCTTTTACCAGTACAACACAAGCTGAAGTAAATGGCATTGTTATCCGCCCTGACCGGCTGACCAATGCAAGGATACCAGCGCCAGCGGGTAAAATCGTAAGATCAAGGTCCCTGGCAGTTCGAAAAAGGCGCAAAGCGCTGAGTGTGAAAGCCAGAAAAAGACTCAAGTCTTTTTCTGAGAGAAGGGCTTTACACATGCCGTTACCCTGACCTACAGCAGCAGGAAAGCCACCGGTGACAAAGAGCGGAGGATAGCAAACAAAAGAGTGTGTGCATCGAACGCGCTATCCGGCTGACCAAACGAAAAGTATGTTTGACGAAGACTTCGCCCTTGGTGGTTGTTGTTGTTATCGCAGGCAGTGATCGCCGTCGCCGCCGCTTTGCTCGTGCTGGCCGCCATCCTGGGCGTGAAGGCCAGCCTGCAGGCCGCCAGCAACAGCAAGCCCTTCAGCATGGAGGGCTTCGACGCCAACGGTGATAAGACCGGGGGACGCGGGCGGCAGCAGCAAACCTTTGAGCCTAGCGAGCGCGACACCACGGAGGAGGACGCCCCGAACGGCGACTGGCTCGAGGACCCCATGTAAGCGTTGTCGTTGTTGTTGTTGTTGCCGCTCGTTAATTTTGTGTTTTTGGTGCAGCTGGCGGTTTCGCGCGCACGTGTAGCGGACAGAAGGCGTGGTTGCGTCGTTGTTGCTGTTCTTTTTTTGTTTTTGTGGGCAGCTGGCGGTTTCGCGCGAGCATGAAAGGACGTGCAACCGACGGAGGTTGTTCTTCTTTGTTTTGTACAACCAAACGGCGGTTGTTTCGCACCATGCTTGCGTTAAGCTGCACCGCACCAACCACCACAATATTCCATTCCATGCAACAAGCCAACACACGGCACCACCGACGGCCTTACGGCACGCCGCTTTCCACCAGAGGAAGGAACCCGGGTTCGGTTCGGCCAGGGGCGTAAATCTCTCAGCCCTCGGTGTATGAAGGCCCTCAGGAGCGTGTGATAGATAAACTGCGTACCAAGTTGGGTTTGGAAACATTGGAACCATTGGGATTTCACGTTTGGGTCCCTAATGATTCTTCGTTTTTCAAGCAGGCGTGGTTGATATGTGTTCTTTTATTGAGCACTTGTGAATTCTCCGCCTTCGCATATTGGGTGAGTCAGTGTCCCAAAAGAACAAAGAACCTTCCGTTTCATGCACGCCTCTTTTTGTCCAACCTGAAACCGCCACAAACGCACCGTCGTCCTGAATCGCATAGGAACCCTTCTCTCTTTATCCCCCCCCCCTTCTCCCCCCCGGTGTTTGCCACCGGGGTTGGGTTTTCGTCGCTTGGCAACGACGTTGTAAAACAAGCCAATTCACTTCGTGAACTCGGCAACCAGGTCACCGTTTTTCTTTTTTACCTCTGTTTTTTTTTTTGGCGGTAACCATAATGAATGGTGGTCGAGTAGGTCATGTCGTGCGGGTGGAGAACCCTCACTCCGCGAAGGGGGATGATCGCACCACGTTGTGTTAATATGGCCAAGCACCCTCGAGGCAGTTACACAGTGCTTATAAACTGTCTCTGGAAGTGAAAGCACCAGAAAACAAATGAAGTCCTACGCAGCTGTCATCCGTACGCAAGGAAGTAAGCACAAGATGCTGAACACCCTTAGCAGGATGCAGCGCACCCTTCATGCGACCCGCCGAATATCTCACGGCGCTTCGCGCTTGGTGATGTGAGAGCCTGGTCCGGTGAGAACCCGGCGTGCTCCGCCCCGGCTTTGTAGGGATGCGAGGTCATTGGTCTAACGACTACGGCATGCACTATGAGTACACCCCCTTCGCGGTTACATTCTCCTCGTCCTCCCCTCCTTACTCCCCCCCATCACGCCCCGTCAATGCCCCGTCCTCTCGAGGACGCGTGGTCAATGAATAATAGTACCGCGCGTCCCACCCCTGCCCCGGTCGCCAACCGCCCACAGCATGGCCAACACCATGGGCATCTCTCGGTGCGACATCGAGCGGGTGCACCACACCAACATGACCACTAAGCGCTTCTCTCGGCACTACGAGGGTGTGAAGCCGGTGATCATCGAGGGCCTGATCGACGAAAAGTGGGCCGCCAGAGCCACCGGGCGGTGGTCGAGGCCTGGCCTGCTCTCCACCTTCTCCGACGCACCGGTGCACGTGAGAATCGCAGATCACGGCAAAAAGATGTCTAGATCATCGCATAAGATCCGTAGATCATCGCGTAGGATGGCACATGCACGCCCTGGGTTTTCGATTAAAGTGCACGTGGGGCACCGTACATCATGGCATGATATATAACATACACACCCGAACTTTCGAGGTAAGTGCACGTGAGGCACCGTAGATCATCGCATAATATGGCGTTGGAACCGTCTCGTCGAGAGCTTTCCAAGAACGTGTGATATGATCTTGGCATCCTCCTACAGTCGGGGAGTAGTCGAGCTTTGAGATTTGCTCCGTGGGGTGTGTTGACCTGTGCGACCTACGGTACTTCTACTGGCGTCTTCGTTCTTACTTTTTCTCCTTTAAGCTTGCTCTTCTTTTTGCGTCATAGTCGTACCCCGGAATGTTCTCTCGCCGGAAAAAAAAATCGGGGGAGATGCACGGCGGAATGTCAAGCCGACTATTTATTTGGGAGAGGGGGGGAGGTGCGGGTGAGAGTTTTTGTGAGGGCTGTTGGCCTTGCCTAACAGGTTCGAGGTTTTGGGGCTGTTTTTTTTTTGTTCTTGTCGCTCACAGAGCGCACGCGGAATCTCCTTGATCAGCAAAGTGAGTCGTGCGCGCAGTTCCAGCAGGCGTGGAATCGGGTTTTCCACCAGATGCGGAAGCGCGTTGGACCTATGTATGACACGACTGGGCAGGTAGTAATACCCGTGTTCGTCGAGTGCACCTTCTCTTGCCCTCGTTCCTGTGTGGTGTGTGGCACTCTCTCACTCTCTCTTTCCCTTTCTCTCTCTGTTTCTCTCTCTCGCACACACTCTCTCTATCTCTATCTAACACACACCCTATCTATTTATCTCTCTCTCTCTCTCTCTCTCTCTCTCTCTCTCTCTCTCTCTCTCTCTCTCTCTCTCTCTCTCT